TTTGCTGATGATGATATTGTGATTTTAACTCTTAATGGTTTGTCTTCTGAATACAATACATTGCGGTCCATTATTAGAGGTCGGGAGAATGTTATTTCTATGAAGGATCTTCGCTCACAATTGCTTGCTGAAGAAGCAATGCTTGCTAATGTTCCTGTTACTCCTTTCCTGTCTGCAATGGTAGTCTTCTCAATTTGAGGCCAATTCGACTCATGATAATTACTCCAATACTGGTCTTTCCTCAAATGGTGGTTCGTATGGGTTTCAGGGAAGCTTTTATCAGTATAATGGGTCTGGTTTCAAGCCTACTTACAACAGGAACAAGGGTAAAGGCAAGTCTCACTACAATTCCCGGTTTGGTAATGCCAAGTCTGGTTCTTTTCATAACAATGCCCCTGGTATTCTTGGTTCCTCTCCACCAAAGGCACAAAGGTTTTTCCAGTCTTCTTGTCAAATTTGTGGAAAATTTGGACATCTAGCTGTTACTTGCCGGTTTCGAAATACTGAGAATTCTATTACAGAGGGTTGCCAAATCTGTGGCAAAAAGAATCACAGTGCCCCTTTATGTCATTTTTGAAATGCCAAGCTCCAACCTCAGCAAGTGTCAGCTATGCATGTTGCTGGTCCATCCTCTGTTCCGAGTGCTAATTCTCAACAGATTTGGCTTACAGATTCTGGGGCTACATCTCACATGCTGCTGACCTTAATCAGTTGTCGTTGGCCTCTCCATTTCCTTCCAATGAGACAATTCAAACTGCTGGTGGTGGTGCAGGTTTATCAATTTCCCACATTGGTTCCTCAACTTTACATACCCCTTTCAAACCACTGCATCTTAATTCAGTCATATATGTTCCTTAACTCACTCAGAATTTGTTATCTGTGCATAAATTGTGTCTGGATAATAACTGCTGGTTAATCTATGATGCTTTCTGTTTTTGGATCCAGGACAAAGCCACATGGAGGCTACTCTTCAAGGGACATTGGATTATATCATATTCCCCTACCAGTTTCATACCGTTCTTCTTTACCAAAAGTACAAGCTGCTTTCCTTGGACAACATGTGTCTTCGAGTCTATGGCATAGTAGATTAGGCCACCTATCCAATTCTATAGTATCTGCCATATTATGCAAATGCAATGTATCTGATATATCTGATAATACATCTGTGATGTGTCACTCTTGTCTAGAAGGGAAATTTTGTAAATTGTCATTTGTTGCCTCTGTCTCTAAGTCCCTGCATCATTTTGATATTGTTCATAGTGATGTATGGGGTCCTTCCCCTTGTAACTCTGTAGAGGGTTTTAGATACTATGTGACATTCATTGATGAATGCACTAGACATTGTTGGATATTTCCTCTCATCAATAAAAGTGATGTTTGTTCAACTTTCATTGCCTTTTACAATTTTGTGTTAAATCACTTTGCTATTTCTGTTAAAACTTTACAAAGTGATGGGGGAGGTGAATATATTAGCAAGTCATTTCAACAATTTCTTGCGTCCAAGGGTATTAAACACCAATTTTCATGTCCATATACCCCTGAACAAAATGGTCTAGCTGAAAGGAAGCATAGACATATTGTTGACACAGCTATCACGCTTTTGCAAACTACTTCCCTGCCTCCAAAATTCTGGTCTTTTGCATGCCAAGTTGTTGTCTACCTTATTAACAGAATGCCAACACATGTTTTACACAACAAATCTCCATTTGAGTTGTTGTTTAAAGATGTCCCAGCTATCAATCATCTTCGGGTTTTTGGATGTTCTTGTTTCCCACTCTTAAAACCTTACAATTCCACCAAGTTACAACCTAAAACAACAAAATGTGTCTTTTTAGGTTATGCTTCCAGATACAAAGGCTACTTATGTTATGAAGTGAGACATAAAAAAATGTACATATCTAGTCATGTTATTTTTTATGAGAGTGAATTCCTTATGCCATGTTGTCTTCCAAAAACTTAACTTCATCATCTTTTACTCCTCTTTTGTCACCTTCTATTTCCCTGCCTTCTGTCACACATGATAATCAGGTTGTCTCCATATCATCTACATCTCCTTTACCTACACTTGAGTCCATTTCTACCCCAACACATGCTGAATCCATTACTGCATCGTCCATACAGTCTGTGCTTCCTTCTTCCCATGTGGCTGCAGTCCTGTCCTCTGGATCTCATCCTCATGATAAAACTGAGCTTTCTTCAGAGTTTGAACCTGAGAGTTTGCAAGTGGTTTCTTCTCTTCCACCTATGAATACACATGCTATGCAGACAAGATCCAAAAATGGCATATTCAAGCCTAAAGCTTTTCTCTCTAAAATTGGAGCTGACATTCCAATTGATTTAACTCAGGTGGAACCCTCAACATACAAGTCTGCCCTTCCATCCTCAGTATGGTGTGCAACTATGACAGAAGAGCTCTCAACTTTGCATTCTCAAGGAACTTGGTCCTTAGTTCCTCTTCCTCCAAACAAGAATTTGGTCGGGTGTAAGTGGGTATTCAAGATTAAAAGAGATGCAGATGGGAACATTTCTAGATATAAGGCACGCCTTGTTGCCAAAGGCTTCAATCAAGAAGAGGGTCTTGACTATGGGGAGACCTTTAGTCCAGTTGTTAAACCTACAACTGTGAGGTTAGTTTTGGCTTTAGCTGCACAATTTGGTTGGTCTTTAAGGCAACTCGATGTGAAGAATGTTTTTCTTCATGGAATTTTACAAGAAGAGGTCTATATGTCTCAACCTCCAGGTTTTGTCGACTCTCAACAGTCCTCTCATGTTTGTAAGTTACATAAGTCTCTATATGGCTTGAAACAAGCCCCAAAGGCTTGGAATGAGAGGTTTACCAATTTTTTGCCTTCTTTGGGTTTTCTTACAACATATTCAGACTCCTCATTATTTGTGAAACATGTTGGCAACTCTGTGGTCATTCTCTTGCTATATGTGGATGATATAATCATCACAGGCAGTGCTACTGCAGCTATTACTGATGTTATACAGGCTTTAGCTCAGGAATTTGATATTAAGGATTTATGACTCCTTCATTACTTCTTAGGAATCCAAATTACTTATCATTCTACTGGTCATTGTCCCATGGAGTCTCATTTTCTTGCTGTGAAGAGAATCCTCAGATATCTGAAAGGCACGATGATTATGGTGTTCAATTCAGCAACAGAGATTTATGTTTACATGCCTTCAGTGATGCTGACTGGGCTGGGGATCCAAATGACCGACGGTCAACTACAGGTTTTGTGGTCTATTTGGGGTCTAGTCCAATTTCTTGGTCTTCCAAGAAACAAAATACAGTTTCTAAGTCCTCAACTGAAGCCGAGTGCCGAGCACTTTCATCCACCACTGCAGAGATTGACTGGATCAAGCAACTTTTGCAGTTTCTTCGGATTGATGTTTCATGTCCAATCACTCTATTCTGTGACAATATGTCTGCTATAGCCCTAGCTTATAATCCAGTTATGCACCAAAGGACAAAGCACATTGAGGTAGACATCCATTTTGTTCGAGAAAGGGTTGCCAAGAAGCTGCTTCAACTTCAGTTTGTTTCTTCCAATGAACAATTTGCCGATATTCTCACCAAGGGATTGTCTACTCCATTGTTTCAAACACATTGTTCCAATCTCAGGTTGAGCAAACCTCCTCCTGTGATTGAGGGGGATGATAACAGTATATAAAGCAAGCTTAACAACTTGTGATCGTGTGGTTGTAATAGTGACAAGTGTAGTCATCTTGTAATCATTGTGATAGCTTAGAAAGTAAGCAATCTAGTTAGATATATACTCTATATAACTATCATTGTAATAATAAGAAAGTTAGTGAAGTAAACAAATGTCTTCTCTGTATAAAATTCTCTTTCTCTCTCTTCGAATACTCATTTCTTCTTCTGCAAGAATACATCTCTTCTATACCTGTTGGTATCTTTACACATCCAAAGGCTATAACGGAAATATTAGATGGCCAAACAAAATGAAAAACTATTCGAGGTGGTTTCGAGTGATTATATTTCAAAATTGGCCTAATCGGATAAACGGTTCCCATGGTGATAAGGTAATCGGAAAGTAGTTCTCGTGGTAAAAAAAAATTAAGATTTAAACCCTCGTAGTGTAGTCCGTTAACAAATTTAGTCCAAAAGTGATTTTTCCATTAAAAGTCTGTTATATGCAAGGGTAAAAATGTACATTGACGTGTTCCTTTTTCTTCACAGTCTCATAGAACACGGGAGTATTTAAAACTTCAAAAGCCATCATTCAGCCAAGAAAATTACGACATCGCCCAAGTATTTAAAACTTCAAAAGGGATCAAGTGCTTAAAAAAAAATGACTTGTGAATTTCCTTGTCTCTAGCAACGATGAGCTAGCAATAGATCATAAGTGAAAAGAATCGAATTCGTTTTTCGCAGGTTAAGCCTCAATCCTAAATTATATAGGATTGGTGCTTTGGTCTGTTATGTAATGTTTATTAGGCCCAATGTCTATTCGTCACCAATAGATCATAACGTGCCTGCGAAGCCTGCTGCTTCGGAATCGCCCAACGTTGGAGTTCCGCGTTGCCCCTTGTATCTGGGTCTGACACCGCTCGGCATCACGTGCGTAAATGTAATGTCGAGCGCGAGTTTTCTTCTAAACATGTTGTGGATGTCTGCTTGGGCTTTTCACCTGGTTCAGGACCATCTATTGGATACATAAGTGCTTCTGCTACATTTTTACAATGGGGTATTGGAAAAAGCTGCCCAGCGTTAACACCTCAGATTCTTACTTTGTCGCCTAAGCAACCCCATGCCGGGCAAAGAAACACGCCATTTCCCTCGACCAGTTTTCGCTTCTTGTTCGTGACTTTTTTATTTTTTGAAATCTTGCAATTGTTGAAAGGCTCTTTTTCTTCTACAACCTCTATTAGATTAACTTGATGGTGATCTAATCATCTTATATTATATTAGACTATGTATGGATTCACCAACATGAAATGTGCGACCAATCACAATGGCATACTCATGGAAATGCCACTCAACAACAATTATTGTTTAGAAAAACTCATGACACTAGCCCTAATACCAGCTTAAGCTTTCGGGCCTAATAAACATTACATAACAGACAAAAGCACCAATCCTATATAATTTAGGTAAAACCTTGAGATTAAAGCACTTGAAAAACGCTACAACATTCTTAATTTCCACAGAGAGAGAGAGAGAGAGAGAGAGAGAGAGTCAGTGACATTACTTAGATTCGCTTCGCTTCACAAAAGCAAACCTCTGACTCCGCTTCCATAGCAACAACTACAATTTTGACACTAACCTCTGGAATTTTAACACTAAACTCTCCAATAATCGGGTTAAACTTTGATTCCCGTCTCTGAAAGTAAAATGAAAAGATGAAGGGACAAAAAAGTTTAGGCTCAGAAATTAGTGGATGGCAAAGGGACAGCCACTCATTAAATACTCAAGGAGCAAATGTATCAGTGGGTGTTCTAGCATCCCTCAACAATTATTGATGTATTCTTGACAAATCAACAAAGACTACCTGATCCAAATGTCTCCACTCAACGACATCCTCACTTGCTGCCAGAAAAAACAGCTCATTGTTTATCTGCAATGGGACAAATATAATGACATATGCAAATATAATGGGAAAAACATAATTAAAGCCTAAATATGTTCATTTGAAGGTTAGAATCAAACCCAACATGATGACATTTTGCGTACATCTCATTATACCGTTCCCAAGCTTCATGGAAAGACTCGTTTGGCTTTTGAGAGAAAGCCAATATCTCTTTCTTGAGTGCAAGAGTCTTGGAAGAAGGAAAAAACTTATTGAGAAAATTTTCTTGCAATTATGTCCATGTTGTAATGCTATTGGCAGGCAGAGAATGCAGCCACACCTTGGCTTTGTCCTTCAAAGAGAACGGGAACAGGCGTAACTTGATAGCTTCAGAAGAGAAACCTCTAATTATGTTGTTGTCACATGCCTCAATAAAATTTGCCAAACGCATGTTGGGATCACTGTTTGGCAACCCATGAAAGGATGGCAATATGTTTTGGATGTGAGGTTTGATTTCAAAGGTTGTCCCATCTTTCACATATGGATATATAATGCACCTTGGCACTGCATTGACTCTCGCTCCCAATGAATTTCTTAAAGGTTGACCTAGGTAAGGCTAGGGCCATGTGTGCAACTGGTGCCAAAGGTTGGAAAATAGATGTGCTGCTCTCGGGATCACGGAACAAATCCTTAAGAAAAGTATCACCAAGGTTGGAATCTTGTGCTAAATATTTTTCTCTAGCTAACTTCCTTGCACTTCTCTCTGGTTCAGGGTCGTAAGAAATAAGCACTTGATTCCTGGACCTTGTTGCAACCACCATATACTACACCTGAACAAACAACAGAAATATTAAGCCACAATAAAAATAAAAGTAAAATAAAATAAAACTTAACAGAAACTAACTAAACAACAAAAAGGAAAAGAAGGTAAGTAAACCTAGATGCATAAAAAACATAGTTTATGCAAATTGGCAACCACTAGTTAGTTAAACAAAGACAAAAATCTCACACCACACATTCATTGCACTTAATTAAAGATCGAAACTCAACTAAATTAATTGCTGTTTTCTTTTTTAATTTTTTTAATGGCTCAAGCAAGTTCAATCTCCTTAGGGACTGGTATAAACAATTTATGAGCTTTTGTGTATTTAACTTAGTTAACTCTAAGAACTATACTAAATTCAACGAAACTAAATACTATTGTACGTGACTTAAACAACATCTAAAAAGGGAAATGGCTTATAGAAATAATGATTCAACTAAACAAAATAAGTAAATGAGGAAATTCAAGTGAAAATAAATGATTGAAGATAAATAGATTGACAATATGCTAGAGTTCAACCTTTACCAACAACACTCATACGAAGCTCTTCCAATTGCTTAAGCAATCGAAAACACATATGCTTTGAAGGTTGAGTTTTCCTTGTGTATGTTTTACTTGTGACATTCAAGTTAAAACGCATACCACTACATGCAATTTATCCATGACATTTGGATTAAATATAAGCATGAATGATTCATTAATCTTGATGAAAATCCTTTTGTTAAACCATGTAATCGCTAAGAGTATGATATTTACCTTAGGAGAAATTACAATCCTCAATCACAAGAAGTATAACCAATTTTAACGTGACATTCATTCAAAATTGCATCCAATGACTTTTCTAAGTATCATAATGGTGATCAATCATCAAGACACATAGATAGTTTAATTTAGAGATTGAAAATATCAAAGCAAGCATGTAACAACACTTAAGCAATTGAAAGAGAAATCTACGTAATCATGTTGCGGCTCATGGCCTCACTCTAGCAAAAAGGAAATTAGTTATACATAATTATTTGAATACATAAGAAATTATCCATGAAAAATCAAAGAAAGAGACAACCCTTTTTTTTTTACAAGGAAGCTATCTCTTGAGCTCTCCGATCCTCTTGGAGCTGCAACATCCCTTCTGCTTTTTACTATATTGCTCCTGCAACTCTGTCCGTTCCTCTTCTTCTTCTCTGCTCTCCCTTCTTTTACTCTCTGCCGTGTGTTGCCTTAAACAAAAGGCAATGATTTTTCAAAGCACCAAGGCCACAAGTGGAAGGCCATCATTGTTATCCCCCTTCTTTACCTTATTTTATTAGACAAAGGAATAAACAGCCGTGTGTTCCACTTTCCTCCTCCAAAAGCTTCTGTTTTTCTAATGCTACAAAGGCCAAATGAGTGGGATTGAAAACCCATTGTCTGCCGAGTGATGATGACAAAGTAAAGGACAAAACAAGTGCCTTTACTTTCTTATTTTTATTAGCCAAATGGAGTGGGCAGATTTGGCCATAACGTTTAGTAGACCAAAAGTCCTTAGATTTCAATGAATGAGATGTCCTTAGAAAGCTTTAATTATGTACTTATCTCTTGTGCAACCTTCAGATGTCCAAACTGCCTTGTCAGCACGCTGACCTGTCTTTATTTTTTAAGCTGGGAACAATTGGCTGAGAATTTTGAGCTGAAAATTTGATATGATCATCTTCGATCTCTTGTGAATCAGCTCCAACTGGAATCACTAAAAAAATTCCAACGTTTGCATACTTTTCCACCAAACTCAATCTTGCTGCTCCTAGAAACACAAAATGGCAAAACTCATAAATACTCAAACTTCCAACTAAACTAGACAAGAAAAGAAATATAAAAAAAGGAAAATATATAGTATAAATATTGGTTCATCACAAACAAAACCACGGAAAAACAAAATCCAGTTCTCTCATGTTTCTGCACCGAATTAAGAAACAAAAAATGAAACAACATCAGGAGAACTCAACTTCTATAGTCCACGGGCAACAAGAAAATTAGCAACCAGAGAGAGATGCATATAAAGAGGCACAACCCACCGAACAGAAAATGCATATTCAATATCGCTAGCTAAACATTCACCCCAGTTTAGTTTTTGATTGAATAGTCAACAAAACTGATTATAAGGAACCCTAGAACTAAACTGGAAGTTAGCAATAAACATGTAAAAATGTCAATGTTCAAACTATATTACAATCACATGCAACTCATACTTTTGGACACAAAACCAGGCAAGATTTATATATATATATATATAAAGAGAGAGAGAGAGAGAGAGAGGAGGAGAAATGGAGGAGGAAATACCAATGGCGACAAGTGCACATGCATTGTCCGCGTAAAAAATATGAGAGCTATGTCCTTCAAATGTGAGTTCTTTTCTGTAAACTCTCTCTTGCAAGGATGATGCCATTGTGAAATGCTACTGTTTAATTTGACTAATGTTTCTAGTTATGAAAACCATCTGAACCACAGAAAGCATGCACAAATGTTTCCAGTTACGAAAACCAGAGCAATTGAGTAGAGATTGGACAGGGAGATGTTGCCCAATCAATCATTGACAGTAAAATTGAGTATCAAATTACCCAAACCTAGTTTGTATAAAAGAGAAGAGATAGCTAGAATGACATAACTCAGAAATGCAACTTGTCACAGTCGAAAAACAGTACTAGATCAAAACTCCTCTATCATGACTAAAGAAAGCAGGGACGAAAAAGTTAAACAGATGAAAAGGATATTAGCTCCAAGAGGAAAGCCAAGACCTAGTGGCAAATTGGAAAATTCAACCCCAATATTACGTAACCTGAAAGGCTAAATTAGTGAAGCTCTCGTAAATCCTGGACGGTCAAGAGTATATAATTAAGGAAACTAGTATCTTTAGCCAAAGAAGCTTATTAGAACCAAAGCTCCAATGGGAAGACATGTGATTGCAAAATTATAGCAGATTTTATCATTTTGTCTGAATTCTCGCAGCAGAAATATAGATGCAGAAGGAATTTCTTGAAGAAATTTAGAGTACTTTTCTTGATTAATTCGAAGAGAAAACTGACTTTTCAGAGGAGAGATTTGTGCAGAGATAAGAGCAAGGAAGAAGAAATCTTATGACACATTTCATCGAACATCATATATGCAAGATTCAAGATTGCTAGCTAAATTTAGAAAGATCAAAGAAGAACGCATACCAGAGAACAACCAGAGAAGATTGCGGAAGCATAAAGATATCAGGATCGAAGAGAGTCCTCCATCGCTGGAAAGGATACCACGTAAGGATGATGAAACTTGAGCTTGCAGGTCATCAATGGAAGCACTGAGATTGCAGAAAGTAGAGAGAGAAGTCGAGAGAGAGGGAGAAATGAGAAATGCTTCTGGTATATTTTCACTGTGTTCTGAAAAACAAGGACTTGCCTTTTACACAAGTTACATTGCCTACTCTCCAAGTAATCTCTCTCTTAACAAACATAACAAACTTGACAGCTTTAACACCTAATCTACTGACAAGTGGCACCATCTTGATCATCGACTGAAGCTTGATTCTTACATCCTTAACACTTTTAATATTATAATTCCTTTGCTGAAGTCTCTAGAAAAGTTTTGTCAAATGTGTGTGTAGACCATGGGTGCTCGACTTCCACTATAGTATTTTCCTAGAAATTGCGAACCGCGTGTAACAACCCATCTCGATTTTTATCGGAACGAAAGAAGTATTTTGTGAAATTGCATCTTGAGCTAGATATTTTCTTTTAAAATTGTTTTTGGGTGTTCTAAATATCATATGGTCCTTTCCGCTACGAGACGTAAGGATATATTCCGGTCCGTTCCAGACGACGGTTTGGTATTGGCATAGGGTCTGGAGTGTATTTCCTTTCGCTATTTAGCACAGGGATGGGGAGCCGGCATAGGGCCTGAAGTGTATTTTCTGCTGACTGTCTGCTCAGAGATGGAGAGCCGGCATGGGGCCTGGGATTATCAGACAATTCACTAGTGATTATTATATATACAAGTTATGATTTGACGCATTGCACGGCATGCTAGGTTTCGGAAAACTTATGTTTATCATGATATATATGTGTTTTCATAAAACCTGGGGGTTAGTATGTTTATAAATGTTTTATTATATATATAGCAACTTGGTCCACTCATGTTTGTTTTGCGTCCTCTTCAGGACTTAGAATCAAGGCATACAATCCCGACGTCAAAGCACTTCCGCAACGGCATCTTCTAGTTCTCTCAGTGTAGGACCCATTCTTTTAT